CCCACCCCCACCCCGACATCCCAAAGATACCAGAGGAAGGAAAAAGTAAGTCTAAACCTGTGGTATTGGCTGCATGCCCTCAGGAAATATTTAGTCAAAATGCATATGTGAGGCAGCGTGGTGGAATCAGGCTCTCGTCAATTTTTGGGCTTGTAGAGTTATTGGTATCATCTTATAGCTTGTTCACTTGTCTTTATTTGGGTGAAAAAATATCCATTTATCTTGAATACAGGTCGAAATATTTGCGAAAGGAGGTGGGGTTACCTGTTTTCAGAGGTAAAATTAGTGAGAAAATGGCCGCGAAAGATTAGTTATTTCCTTAGCTTAAGAGTCGATGGTAACAGAAAATTTACATTTTTTTTGTGCTTTTCAACGTTCTTCAGAAAAATTCACACAGAAATGAGTTCTTTAATGGGCATGAAAGGTGTTGAGCAAAAAAACAAAAATTTCATAAAAATTCAAACCTGCGGAAAAATGAAAGTTTCTTCACTTTGATAATTTTGACGAGAGCCTGATTCCACCACGCTGTATTCTAGATGTGAAAAACAATAAAATCCGGGGGCACTTGTTAAAAGAATGAAACCGCTTTTCTCCTGCAAAAAGCCCAAAACGAAACAAAACAAAACAAAAACAAAACGATATTCCAAACTTAACAAACTCACAATATACTATCAAGCTCACCCTTTCTTTTCGCTTTAGTTAGAGTTTTACGGCACTTGCAACTCAATAAGGTCATAATATAAGTGCCGAAGAATAGAGTATGTGTTACAAGAGAGTAACATACACAAAAAAAGAAGGAGGAGAGATAAAGACAACTGATGGCTGTTAGGAAAGAAGGAGCAAACCACACCAGAGCACCAGCCAACCACCCACTCACCCTTTCTCTGGGAGAGAGACGAGAATGTTTCCCGTGACGTGGTCCCCCACGGACAAGTAACCATAGAAACCGACCATGACGTTGAGGCAGATGTTGCAGGTGGTTGCCATGGTGATGAGTCCACATATTCCGCCGTAGTCCTGGGGACGCTTAGTCTTGTTCTCCAGGGGGAGGATCTGAGCGTGGGGAGAAGAGGATGGAGGGGGGGGGGGTGGGCGGAGGGGTTTTATGTTTATTTGTTTGGTTGGTTGGTTGGTTGGTTGGTTGGTTGGTTGGTTGGTTGGTGGTGGCGTCGGTGGCCAAGTTGTTAGGCTCTTAGACTCGCAACCGTGAGGTCGTGGGTTCGAATCCCGTCATGGTTGGATGTTGGGAGCCTGGAAAAGGCACTTTACACGAATTTTCCTCACTTCATCCCGGAGAGATTGTGTCAGTTTGTTGGTGTTTGAGCCCTCAGCTGCTTGCTCTGTATGCTTCCCGGGAATCTGAGAATGGTTCTGAGATTTTCATCGTCTGTTGGGGTAATAATATAGTGTAAACTAAGTACATGTAGTGTAAAGCGCTTCAAGCTTGCTGTCAAGCGGGGATATGCCCTATAAAATTGCGATTTACTATTATTATTATCTTCATCATGATCATCATCATCATCATCATCATCATCATCATCATCATCATCATCATCATCATCATCATCATCATCATCACCACCATCATCATCATCATCACCATCATTGTCGTCATCGTCTCTGTCACCATTGTCGGTTTCATCATCGTCGTCTTTTTCATAACTATTGTCATCATCATCATCATCATCATCATCATCATCATCATCATCATCATCATCATCATCATCATCATCATCATCATCATCATCATCATTAACAAAAGAGTCTGTGACCTACCATGGGAATCCCTTCCACGGTGAACACTGACGCCCCCACAAACAGTGGGATGGTCCACGGGTCAGGGGTCACCAAAGGGAACTGCGAGATGGGCTGCAGGTTGGCGCATGCGTACTGAACAATGGTGACAATAGACACCTTGGACGGGAAAATTGGTTTTGAGAGTGGACTGAGGAGAGGATGCATTCAACAACTTTTCGCACATAGCGAATAAACGACATAGCAAAAAAAAATATGTTGAACAAACAAATAAGACGAAAATGATGTGTAAACGTTACTGAAGAATGGCAAAGGGCGAATAGCCAGCCAAAACATGTCGAATAAACAATAAAACAAAAATGTGGGGCAGTGTGGTGAAATCAGGCGCTCGTCAAAATAATCAATTCGGAGAAAACAGCATTTTTCCGCGGGTTTGACAATCATTACCTTGAATGTCCATTTAAAAACACATTCTGTTAGGATTTTACTGTAAAATATTAATTAAAGGCACTAAAAATGTAATTTTACAGTTTCCAAGGACTCTCAAGCTTTGGAAATCACCTAACTTTGGCCGCCATTTTCTCGTTACTTTTTCCTTTGAAATCAGGAGACCCCATTTCCTTCAATCGTTAATGCCTCTACTTCTATTCAAGACTTATAAATGACTTTTTCAAGGAGGGCGAGACAAATGAACAAACTTTAAGATGATACCAATAACTCCACACGCCCCAAAACCGACGAACGCCTGATTCCACCGCGTCGGGACACAAATGATGTGTAAACAATACTGTTTAGTTTAAGTTTTAGTAAGAGTTTTACGGCACTTGCAACACAATAAGGTCATATAAGTGCCGAAGAATAGATAACGTGATACAAGAGAGTAACATACACAAAAAAAAGGAGGGGAGATAAGGACGACAGACGTTTAATAGGAAAGAAGAAGCGAACCACACCAGAGCACCCGCCAACCACCCACTAAACAGTACAGAAAAAGGGCGAAGAGCAAAAACATGTCGAATAAACAATTAAACAAGAGACATTGATAAATCAGCCCATTTACAATTACAATTCTACTGTGCATAGGAACTCGAGATGTTAATCCCCCCCCCCCTGCCTTTTTGGAATGGCCTAAAGATACTTCAGACAGTAGCTCCGCCCCGGGGGTGGATGGATAGATGTCTGACAGGAAAGAAGAAACAAACCACACCAGAGCACCCGCCAACCACCCACTGAGAGGGGGAGAGAGAAGAATG